ATGTAGCAAAAAAATAAAAAATGCAGTGGTGGTTAAATGCCAACAAAAGAAAACTCTATTTTTGTGAAAAAAATTATAACTTTTTTTATGGGTACAGTGTTTCTATGACTGCACAATTGTCATTCATAGTGCAACAATGCTGAAAATTGGCCTGGGAAGAAGGGGGGTAAAAGTGCCAAGTATTGAAGTGGTTAGATTGGATGAGTCTGTCATGAAGAGAGACCGATTCCTAAAGTGGAAGTCCCAAATATTGGCCAAATTATTGCTATCCAGATGTGGAATGTCATTAAGCCAGAGAGAGGACATATCCATAAGGGAGATCATATGTGAATGGCTATATAGTCCAGAGGTAGGCTTAGTTGAGCGATCAGACCAGAGAACATGCTCTAGATCCGAGAGGGAAAGAGGGCTTGGGAGTGGGAGGATTGGCTACCAAAGGCGTGAGATAAGTGCTAGTATCGAAAGTAATAGGTAGTTGGAACATTCTAATTAGTGCTGATGGTGGAAAGTGAACGGAGGCGGTCTTGACTCACTTTGTGGGAAATCAATTCAATCTTATATTTGGTCCATGCATGGGGATCAGGTAATATGTAAAAATTGATTGATTAGGTTTAAGCCACAGAGGGGTAAAACAAAACATACAGTACCACATGTGATGAGTGAGATTCAATACTCACTCAATCCCACCTTCCAGGCTTTAAGCATGGGTGGGGTCAGATCGTACAGGACTTTAGGGTCCCTAAATAGGAGAATTTTCAATGTTCTATGGAGGATAGGACCGCCACTTCCAATACAGTGGCCATATTGGTCATGCTCGGGCATAGGCACCAATGGGCTATGACTAGTTGGGATGCTTGAAAATATTTAAAGCAATCTGGTAGGGCAATACCTGCTCGAAAGGAGGGTCTCATCAAGGTAAATAATTTAGTGTGGCAGGTGGGGGCACCACACAAATGAGGAAAAGAGTTGGTTAAGTTTGGCCAAAAAATGACTTCAGGATCCCCTGCATATTGGGAAATTTAGGAAGAATCTTCATTTTGAAGAGAGGCTAACTAGCAGTGATGATGGCAGATTCTCCCACGCCCTAAGTTTTGCCTTGATGTCATCCAGTATCAGTAGTAGATTCAGGGCAACAAAATCTGTAACCTCATGAGAAACAGCAACACATAAGTACTTGAACTGGGTAACCCATTGCAAGATAACATCAGGAGAGACAAGAATACATGTTACTGGGTCAATTGGGAACAATAACAACGACAAATTTACATGGAGACCAGTCACCTTTGAAAAATCATTAAGGACCCAGAGATCGCCCTGCAGGAATGGACCGGGGTCATTGAGAAACAGGAGGAGGTTTTCCGCATACAGGGCAACCCTCTCCTTCAGCCAGCCGATTTGGAGGATTTGGAGGTTTTTAATCAGAGGTTTGGTTCGGAGAGCTTCCGCCATGGGTTTCATCGCAATGGCAGATAGGGCTGGAGAGAGAGGGCAGCCCTGGAAGATACTATTATTTAAATGAAAGGGTTGGGAAAGAAAACCAATTATCTTTATGGAAGCAGTGGGGTGTCTATACAGGGTACGTAACCATTGAATAAAGCGAAGGGTAAACCCAGTCTCCTAAGGACCTCTCAGATATACACCCACTCAACAGTGTCAAAAGCCTTTCCGTAGTCAAGTGAGACGATAACTCTGGTGCCTTCATTAATATGAGAGGCATGTACTGTATAATAGTAAATAATGTTGATATCAGTCGATTTATGTGGCATAAACCCCGTTTGATCCGGGTCAATCAAAGAAGGAAGGATACTGTTTAGTCTGCTAGTAAGAAGCTTGGTGAGAATTTTAAAATTGAATTCAGCAAGGCAATAAGCTTGAATGAGGCACAGAGGGCTGGATCATTGGGACTTTTATAAATCAGAGCAATATAGAGGGTGGAAGGGAGTCAGTAGCTAGACACTGAGTAAACAAATCTGCCAGTCTGAGGGCTAATACATCCCCGTACGTTTTGTAGAACTCAATGTGGATGCTATCAGGGCCGGGGTCCTTACCTTCTGAAAAGGACCGTATAACTGTGGGAACTTCCTCAGTTGTGATTGGGCGAACCAACAGTTCTCGTTCTTGGTCAGAAAGCCAGCTCAAAGCAACAGAATCCAAGAGGGGGGAAGTATCAGAGGGTGTAAAGGAAGGAGGCAAAGAGGAATTATAAAGAGTGGAATAATGATGCCTAGATTCCTGCAAAATATCTGGGGAGGTGAATACTGACCCATCGGACAGTTTTACTTCAGGAACAAGAGTAATAGGAGTAGCAATTGTGATAACATTGCCAGAGTCCTGCCGTTTCTATCCCCTGTTAAAAAAAAAAAAAAATTGGTTTGCATTTTTGTAGTTCCAGACAAGGGGATTTTTACTCCCATTGACACTAATATGAGGACATTCTTCCTACACTGACCAGAAGACAAGTGCATTCTCCTTTTCAAAGACCAACAAAAGCAAAGCATAGACCTGGACACATTCTCTGAGAGAATCCTGTTACTTATCTGCCCCCCCCCCCCAATCACAGAACAAGAAAACAATGAATGCAAGAAATATTTCAGTGGAGGAGTGGACAAAAACGGGCAGGCTCCCGTCAGGTCCTTCTTAAATGTACTTCAATATTGGACACAAAGCTATTACCCTCCCAGTGCCAGAAATTCAGTGAAAAGGATCAGGCTTAACATGAGAGAAGGTTTCATCAGAAGCCTTCAGCCTGCAGGACAGGGAACATACTTCATTACAGGTAAATTATATGACTTTGGCTGTAGCAAAAAATAAAAATGAAATAAACTTCAGCTTTTAACTATTTCTAAAGGCTACAAGATTTTTTTGCTTTTTTGGATGCTCTTCAATCAGGGGAATATTTCCAAGTGCAGCATTTATTAAAAGCATGTACTAGACACTTAATTTTTTTCTCTTCTCTGCTTCATGGCTCCACATTTCATTGCGGCACTTCCTTTAACTTCCGGGTAGAGGAGGCTGCACATTGAGGACACAGTGAGGGCAGAGGAGCATGTACATTGGAATGCACCGGAGGAGGGAGAAGGATCAGCTTGATAAGGCTTTATTAAGGCATACTACTTTAAGCCATGTGCAATGCCAATGTGACCATATTTCACTGAGCACTCCCTTTCTCCCCATAGACCCCCAAATGGGTTATGCCAATGTGACCTCTTTTCACCAACCACCCCTTTTCTCCCCATAGTCCCTTCAGTGTTCCTTTTTCTAATGTTCTAATGTTGGGATGTACAGTCATGGCCGAAATTGTTGGCACCCTTGATATTTTTCCTGAAAATCATGTATTTCTCACGAAACGTATTGCATTAACACATGTTTTGCTATACACATGTTTATTCCCTTTGTGTGTATTGGGACAAAACAAAAAAAGGGAGGAAAGAAAGCAAATTCGACATAATGTCACACAAACCTCCAAAAATGGGCTGGACAAAAGTATTGGCACCCTTTCACAACTGCGGATAAATAAGAATGTTACAAGCATGTGATGCTCCTGTAAACTCACCTGGGGCAAGTAACAGGTGTGGGCAATATAGAAATCACACCTGAAAGCAGATAAAAAGGAGAGACGTTCACTTAACCTTTGCATTGTGTGTCTGTCTGTGCCACACTAAGCATGGACAACAGAAAGAGGAGACGAGAACTGTCTGAGGACCTGAGAACCAAAATTGTGGCAAAATATCAACAATCTCAAGGTTACAAGTCCATCTCCAGAGAACTAGATTTGCCTTTGTCCACAGTGCGCAACATTATCAAGAAGTTTGCAACCCATGGCACTGTAGCTAATCTCCCTGGTCGTGGACGGATGAGGAAAATTGATGAAAGATTGCAACGCAGAATAGTCCGGATGGTGGATAAGCAGCCCCAAACATGTTCCAAAGACATTCAAGCTGTCCTGCAGGCTCAGGGAGCATCAGTGTCAGCGCGAACTATCCGTCGACATTTAAATGAAATGAAACGCTATGGCAGGAGACCCAGGAGGACCCCACTGCTGACACAGAGACATAAAAAAGCAAGACTACAGTTTGCCAAAATGTACTTGAGTAAGCCAAAAGCCTTCTGGGAAAACGTCTTGTGGACAGATGAGACCAAGATAGAGCTTTTCGGTAAAGCACATCATTCTACTGTTTACCGAAAACGGAATGAGGCCTACAAAGAACAAAACACAGTACCTACGGTAAAATATGGTGGAGGTTCAATGATGTTTTGGGGTTGTTTTGCTGCCTCTGGCACTGGGTGCCTTGACTGTGTGCAAGGCATCATGAAATCTGAGGATTACCAAAGGATTTTGGGTCGCACTGTAGGGCCCCAGTGTCAGAAAGCTGGGTTTGCGTCCAAGATCCTGGGTCTTCCAGCAGGACAATGACCCCAAACATACGTCAAAAAGCACTCAGAAATGGATGGCAAAGAAGCGCTGGAGAGTTCTGAAGTGGCCAGCAATGAGCCCAGATCTAAATCCCATTGAACACCTGTGGAGAGATCTTAAAATTGCTGTTGGGAAAAGGTGTCCTTCCAATAAGAGAGACCTGGAGCTGTTTGCAAAGGAAGAGTGGTCCAAAATTCCGGGTGAGAGGTGTCAGAAGCTTATTGATGGTTATAGGAAGCGACTGATTTCAGTTATGTTTTCCAAAGGGTGTGCAACCAAATATTAAGTTAAGGGTGCCAATACTTTTGTCCAGCCCATTTTTGGGGTTTTGTGTGACATTATGTCATATTTGCTTTTCTGCCTCTGTTTTATATTTGTTCCAATACATACAAAGGGAATAAACATGTGTATAGCAAAACATGTGTTAATGCAATACCTTTTTTGTGTGAAATACTTGATTTTCAGGAAAAATATCAAGGGTGCCAACAATTTCGGCCATGACTGTATATCCTTGTGTGTTTCAACTCCTACTGTTACATTCTCTATTATCTAAATCAGTAGTCTCCAAACTGTGGCATGGGGGCCAGATGCGGCCCTTTGCTTGCTTTTATGAGGCCCTTGGGTCATTATTAGCCCCACTGTCAGCACTATTCCTCCTACTGATACCAATGATGGGTACTATTCCTCCCACTGATAACAATGATGGGGCACTATTCCTCCCACTGACATCAAGGATGGGACACTATTCCTCCTAATGATACCAATGATGGGGCACTATTCCTCCCACTGATACCAATGATGGGGCACTATTCCTCGCACTGATACCAATGATGGGACACTATTCCTCACACTGATACCAATGATGGGGTGCTATTCCTCCCTATGATGGGGAACTATTCCTCCTACTGATACCAATGATAGGGCACTATTTCTAGCACTGATACCAATGACTATTCCTAACATTGATAACAACAAAGAGGCACTGTTCATCCCTCTAATACCAATGATGGGGCACTATTCTTTCCATTGACACCGATGATGATGGGGCACTATTCCTCCCACTGACACCAATGATGGGGCACTATTCCTCCCACTAATACCAATGACGGGGCACTATTCCTAACATTGATAACAACAAAGAGGCACTGTTCATCCCTCCAATACCAATGATGGGGCACTAGTCCTTCCATTGACACCAATGATGGGACACTATTCCTCCCACTGACACCAACAAAGAGACACTATTCTTAACATTGTAAACAACAAAGAGGCACTATTCATCTCCCTAATACCAATAATGGGACACTATTCCTCCCATTGACACCAATGATGGGGCACTATTCCTCCCACTGACACCAATGATGGGGCACTATTCCTCCCACTGACATCAATGATGAGGCACTATTCCTCCCACTGACATTAATGATGGGGCACTATTCCTCCCACTGACACCAAAGATGGGGCAATATTCCTCCCACCGACACCAATGATTGGGCACTATTCCTCCCATTGACACCAATGATGGGGCACTATTCCTCCCACTGACACCAATGATGGGGCACTATTCCTCCCACTGACATCAATGATGAGGCACTATTCCTCCCACTGACATCAATGATGAGGCACTATTCCTCCCACTGACACCAATGATGGGGCCTATTCCTCCCACTGACATCAATGATGAGGCACTATTCCTCCCACTGACACCAATGATGAGGCACTATTCCTTCCATTGATAATAGCAAAGGGGTATTATTACTTCCCCTAATACCAATGATGGGGCATTGTTTACTCCCACCGATGCCAGGACACACTCTTCTCCCACCCGCTACAGTCCAGGCCCTGTAGAGTTTGAAGAACAGTAATATGGCCCTTTGTTTAGAAAGTTTGGAGACCCCCTGATCTAAATAAATAAAAATTCCAGGAGAGACAGTGAGAGCTCCTCATAGTGGTAACAGTAGGTGTGCAGACCCAAGAACTCAGCACAGGAATCTCACCACAAAAAGTCTTGGAGAGATAAGAGAAACTGTCAACTCTCCACCATCTATCAAACCAGGGGCGGACTGACAACTCATGGGGCCCCCGGGCAATAGAGGATCATGGGGTCCCTGTGTCCTTGCCCAAACTCAAAAAAGTCTATGAAAAAGGTACCAGGGGCATCTCATGGGGCCCCCTACTGACCCCGGGCCCTCGGGCAGTGCCCGAGTTTCCAAATGGTCAGTCCACCCCTGTATCAAACATATCAGTTTTGAGTGGACTGACCCTCTACTCAAACTTGTTTCAATGTCCATTTAAAGCATTTAACTTATAAACATCATGGGGTCCGCCTATATCTTACAGTGGGCCCACTACAATCTATAGGCACATCTATACAAAATGTATTTATAATCAGGTAGACGCTACATAAGCTAATCAAAGTACACGGCCATCTGTGTTTCTTTGTTTTCGCTGCCCCTTTGTGGGTCATTTTCCGTGTCTACCAGTAACAAATGAATCGGAATGTCTCAGGTGACAGCAAGATCAACAAGGCATAAAAAGTCTAAATAATATTATTTGCTAAAACGCTTTTCCCTCGAGGCAAATTTTTTTTCTTTTTTTTACGTTTTCTCCCCGTTCCTTTCTTTCAAGTCGCCTGTCAAGCCGGAAATGGTTCTGTTGCAATATATCAATTATAAACCATTTATAATTTCCTTTGATTTTGCGTAGGTTTGACATGGGGTAATACAAAAGGCTGTTGGCTACTTACCAATTTAATTTGCCGGGCTCCCACAAATCATAGTACGGAGATAAAGAAAGCTACCCATTTGAATATGTGGGATCAATCAATGACAAAATAGAGCCGGCACAACATAAACCAACAGGAGATGAAGGTTAGGCCACTGTGACAATTGTTTGTTTCGTTTAAATGATCAATTATTCATGACATGTTATAATGACAGACACGACACAGCCTAGACCAACTCCGGCACAAAAGGTTAATTGATATCTAAGGTCTGCCTTTAGTCATCGGAACGCACAATGTTTTCCGAATTCCACCCCTTCCCTCCTAAAGATCTTTCTGGATGTGGTGGGGATAATAGTACTGGCAAGGGGGATCCGGACACAAATTGGTTCGCCAATGTATGATTGTTTTAAATTGGATTTTTCTTTTTTTAATCCAACGTTCACTGGGATCTGGGCTACCTTTTTTTTTTTTTTTAAATTTGATCATGTTATTTCGATTCAGCCAAATCATGGATTTACGGTTGAAGTAAGTTCCTGAAAGGTGGTGCATGTTATGACCATAAAACAATGTAACTCCTGATCAATCACAATAAATTACAACAACTAAAAAATAACTGTAAATCCCCTACACGCTGCAGCTGAATTAAGAGTGTCCATACCACACTCAATCAAATAAATCTAAAAAATCCACCAAAAAAATAGAAATAAGACTACTAGATGAGCGTTGATATAAATATAATAAATATTCAAACCAAATGTGAAAATTCGAAAAACAATTTGAAAGAAAAAATTGTTGGTGACTGTTATTGCACTTTAACCTCCCTAGCGGTCTGATTATGTCAGTATTTCTGTGCTCAAAGTGGTACATTTTTTTGCATGGAAATATGTAGTTTTTTTATTGTAGTCCTGTAATTTTTAGGAATAACTCACTGAAATCTGTCCGAACAAGAGTCTAGTAAACATCCCGGGGGTATGATAAAATTTGAAACACAAAATCATAAATTATAATTTAATAAATAATCAAAAAAATAATAATATAATAATACATTTAATTCCATAATATAATCAAATCAAAAACACTGAAATTTGAAATAGAGCGCCAAGTTCGCACATTGCTGAGCTCAGGTGCAAAATTGTTTTCAGTGCCTGATGACGACTTTCCCCCACGAATCATTTTCACTCAATTCTGCAAGTGGTTCTAATTCACTATCGCTGTTCTCTAGCCGGTCTAAAACCGATTTTGACCTAAAGGGACGCTTTTTGGACGCCATGGACATTTCTCAGTTTCCAGGCAGAAAGAACAGTAAAAATGCAGGCAGGGCGCAGGACAAAGCACTCGGGACAAAATGTATGTGAAATGGTTTGATACAGGAATGTTATACTATGTGATTTTAGTGTATTTAGTGAATGTCACTTTTAATATTTTCAAATTTCCCGCCGTTCCGTCCCCCGTACGTCCCGACGTCGCAGGGAACGGAACCCAGAAGACAGATGCCAGCATCCGCCGGAGGACATTTCTGGGGACGCTGCAGGGGGGACATCGCGGGAGCGCAGGACAAGGTAAGTGCAGAAGAGATCCCGGAGCAGCGCTGCAGTGTATTCCTGAGTGTAGCTCGGGGTTACCGCTTGTGGTGCTGAAACTTTACCCCGAGCTACACTCGGGAATACCTCCAGGGAGGTTAAAGTGTTCAAGGGTGACCACACCGATTCATCTGTGTTAAAAATACCTTCGCATAATTACACCACTCCTCGTGATGGTTATCCCACCCAGGGGCGGACTGACCATTTGGAAACTCGGGCACTGCCCGAGGGCCGGGGTCAGTAGGGGGCCCAGTGAGATGCCCCTTGTACCTTTTTCATAGGCTTTTTTGAGTTTGGGCAAGGACACAGGGGCCCCATGATCCCCTATTGCCCGGGGGCCCGATGAGTTGTCAGTCCACCCCTGATCCCACCACCAGCAACCTCTCATCTTATAGTTGTGACCTACTATGTGTTCAGTCATAAAGCGCTTGTGTCACGAACCTGTGGTAGTGAGCCCTTGCAGACTGCCAACTCGGGGTTCACCAGGTTCTGGAGTCTAAGCCCCAGCCTGCTTCTTCACCAGAGCCCCTGATGGTGGGGATGGACTTGCATCAAGCTGGAACCAGGTCACACCCTCCAGGTATGCCCAGATGAGGATGCGGAGACCAATCGCATGAGCAGAGTGTAATCCAGGAGACAACAGGGAAGCCAGTAGACAAGCCGAGGTCAGGACGGGTGGAGATCAGCACAGTCAGTGGACAAAGCCGGGGTTGGTGCACAGGTAGCCAGATACAGGATATAAGCATAGCAACAGACAGGAGCTCAGAGAAGTTGCTCAGGCAAAGTGGGCTAGACTGAGCATGTTTTATATAGATAGGCAATCTAGGAGGAGGGCCAGGAAGTGATGGAAGGGAAGGAAATAATACCCAGAGGATAGCAGACAACGCCCATAGGTGGGCACAGACAAACCACACATGTGAAAGGAATCAGGAACAGCACTGCAGCAAGGAGGTAAGAATACACAAACAAGAAACTGCAGGTTAACTTGTAACAGCTTGTCCCATTAAGGGCAATAGGAAATTAGTTTGCACTGTGTAGAACAGGGGTGTCAAACTCAATTTCATGGCGGGCATCAGCATTATGGTTGCTCCCAAAGGGCGGTTGTATCTGTAAGACTAGATGTCCAGAGCACCCCACTCTCCCTTACATCACAGTGCACTCCCCTTACCTTGTGCTGCTGCCAGGAAGAAGCTGGAGGCGCAGCTGGGAAGCAGAAAGTGCGGGATCTGGAGGAGGACCAAAGGAGGGCTGGAGTCAGCTGCTGAAGTCTACAGGGGAGGCAGAGAAAAGAGGGTGTTGCTGCTACATAGAGATTACACCACTCCTTGTTATAGTTATTCCACCACCACCAACCTCTCACCTTATAGTTTCGACCTACTATGTGTTCAGTCAAAAAGCACTTTTCCCTTTAAGGGCAATAGAAAATTTGCTTGCACTGTGTAGAAGGTGACATCTTACCCTCCCATCAATTTCCAGAATTGGTACCCAGAATATAATTAACAAATCATAGTGTTTTCCATAAAATTACACACAGGGATCAGGGCTTATTGCACATAAATTCCACCAGGTCATTGCCTGGACAGGGTCATCCAGCACCGAAGGTAAGGATACAGAATTGCACCTCCCCCCTACTGTTAATGCTTGCCATAAAATGGGTGTAATACCCTGCATCTATTATTTGCCCCCTTGCTTCTCTGCACCCAGCGCAGCTGCCCCTTCTGCTCACCCCTTGTCCCGACCCTTCTCCAGGTGCTGTTGGTGTGGAATCGGCTGCTTGCATGCAGTAGCCCAGGTTACAAGCCACCTAATGCCGTCATCCCCTTGGGACCAGGAGATTGTTTATACCATATGCTAACATTATGAATGATATTGTCCACTGCTTGTCACATGACCCAAGCAATTACATCACTGGCTCCTGCCACCTTGTGTTACGCCCTCTGAGGAACACACGCCCATGGCGTAACTTTTTAATGTGAGTGCAACTTTTTCTGCTGTTTTAATAAGTTAGTAACTTTATAGAAAACACTATGATTTGTTAATTATATTCTGGGTACTGACTCTGCAAAATAATGGGAGGATGGGATGACACCTTCTACACCACAGGGGTCAAACACAAGGCCCTCCAGGTCATTTCATGTGGCCCTCAGACCTCTCCTGCAGCTGTGGTATTCCCTCATCTCCACCTTGTCTCAGCAGTCAACAGAAGAGAGGAGGACAGATCTCCTCCACCAGAACCTGCTCTTCTCCATGCAGCCAC